ACCACCTCTAACAGCTTTTAGAGAGCAAATGAAATGACTGAGAAAATGGGAAAGCCACCTTCTTTCTTGCCCCCTGGGCACAAAGAATCTCATGGAAGCTTTTATCAGCTGCTTAGCTCCTACCTGGCTGCAGGAACCTGCTACGTGGCCCTCCAAAACACTACATGCCTCAGTTTCTCTGTCTGAAATGGAGGTGCATCACAGTCCAGCAAGAAGGGAAGGTGCAAAAGGACCATAACAAGGAGGTGCTCAAGAGTTAAAGTCACCGAATCCCCTGCTTCACACCACTGCGCTGGGGCACCTGGGATCTCAGTTGGTTACGCAACTGCCTTCAGCTCAGGTCATGATCTCCAGGTCCTGGGATCGGCCCCACATCAGGGTCCCTACTCAGCAGGGAGTCTGCTTCTCCCTCTCTCTCCACCACTCCCCCTGCTTGTGCGCTCCTGCTCTCTCTCTATCAAATAAATAAAATCTTAAAAATAAATAAATAAATAAAAATAAACCGCTGCCTTGCAGCGGGCTTGCAAAGCAGCTGAGAGCAGGGGCTCTGGGTCAAACAGGCGGGGTTTATATGCAACTAGGGACTCTGGGCAGCTGGGTCCACCTCTGACCTTCCTAAAGATTCAACGGCACATGCAGGTGCAGCACGGGTTACAGAATGGCTCAGGAAGCACTGGCTGTTTCCACCAAGAACGTTTACACGGCCTGGGGAACACAAAACTCATTGCACCAACCATGGATCCTCAGATCCCCCCACCCCCCTTCAGGATATCTGCCCAGAGTGCTCTTGGAGGATGGCTCCCAGCTGTCCCTTCATTCAAGGATGTCCTCAGGGCAAGCCCAAAGTCACATGTGCTTCCCAGGGTGGGCCGCACCCTGTGAGGGATCAACATCAGGGGTAAGGTCAGTCCTCTGACCCCGACTGGGGCCAGCCCTAGCTTCAGGATTCCCAGGGCCTCTCAGATCAGCTTCTCCCTCTGCCCATATGCTGCGGACCCAAGACAACTCTCACCTCCCTCCCCTAGCTAAAAAAGCAAAGTAAGAAAAACTTGGACACTCTCTCCATGAAAAGGCTAAAAGCCAGAATCCTACGTCAGAGATCCTGGAGCTTCTCAAGCCCAGCTCCCCCACGCTGCAGAGGATGGACCTGAGGTGTCAGAGTGGGTAGGAAATGTGTCCCGGCCAGGCGTCAGGGAGCAGCAGGCTCTGGAGGGAGGTCCGCTCTAGGCGGAGAGGGAGGGAAGACTGCACACAGCTGTGTGAGTCCCATGCTGAACCACCTCCTTCTTGCTTCCATGGGGACGTACATCCTGGGAGGGCTCATTGTCTTCTGTTCCCCTGGACTCTTTCCCAGGGTGCAAGTAGCTCCAAGTACAAATGTAACATAGGAAGAAAGACGGGCTGTCGTTTCCGTGAACAGATGTAACTGAGGGCCACACTGTCCCTACGGGACGGGGTGGGGCGTCGCCACTGTGGGGCGAGAGGACACTCAGCCCTGACCTCTGGCTCACAGTGGCAAGAGAAGTGGGAGTGGGTTCTGTGAGCCCAGCGGACCGGACTCCCAGAATCCCAGGCCAAACGGTGCAGCCTTCCCGGATGACGGTGGTCCCAGCTCCAAGAGCACACGGGTGGTATTCAGAAAGCCTGGGTCCAGGCTGCCCCACAGCGCTGTGCTGAGAGCTGGATGAGACGGTGCCGGGCAAGCATGGGGACCGCACCAAGGGTTAATGCTGGGCACCTCCTTAAGAAGAAAGCCGGCAGCCCTGCCAGCGGGAAAGGTGTCCTTAACTTCTGCCACTGCAGCACTTTGTTCTTGATAAGATAATGGGAAACAGGAAGCTGAGGAGGTGAAGGGAAGGTTGGGGCAAGGTGGCTGCGGGAGGATTTTCTTTCTTGTGCTTATCACCTGATTCCAAATGCACATTCCAGCAGGCCAGGGATGGGGCCCACTGTTCCATATGTAGGATTTGTGCTTCTGTGGTGACATGGTCCTTGGTTGTTGTTGTTTTTTTTAAATTCTTTCCCCTCCTAAATGCTCTGAACCACTTAAGCACTACCCCACCATCAGAACCCAGTTCAAAGAGAAATGCTCAGCTATTTAGAGGGCCTGGAAAGTGGGGTGGGGAGGAAGCTCCTCCCTACACGGAAAGAACACCAGGGAGAAAGTGTCTGTACAGGAGGAAAGAGGAAGCAGGACGTCAGGGCCTCCTTGTTGAAACTTCTTGACACACTTTCCTTCCTGCCTTCTCTCCCCCACCACCAGTGGGACCCCCCACCCCACCCCTCCCGGGGGTTCATCGACACAGGACAGCTCTGAGGGTGGGCAGCCTGTGAGGTCGGACCCAGCCCCACGCTCAGAAGGGCTCCACTCTGAGTTTAACACTTGGCTGTCACCTTGCAACTTTTTTTTTTCTTTAAGATTTTATTTATTTATTTGACAGAGAGAGAGAGATCACAAGTAGGCAGAGAGAGAAGGGGAAGCAGGCTCCCCGCTGAGCAGAGAGCCCGATGTGGGGCTCGATCCCAGGACCCCGAGATCATGACCTGAGCCAAAGGCAGAGGCCTTAACCCACTGAGCCACCCAGGCGCCCCTCACCTTGCAATTCTTAATAATTTTTTACTAAGAGGCCCCCACTTTTCCTCTTGTTCTGGCCCCATGAAATTATTCAAGTCCTACATCCACGACGGGAGTCCTCCCCCTGGTAACTGGCTGGGGGCAGGATGGAGCACACACATGGGGCTGCGCCCAGCCTCCTTCCTGCCAGTGCCCCCCAGAAGTCCTGATGCGGGAGGGAGAGCACTGCCTTCCCTGGAGCCACTCTGAGCACAGGGCCAGGAGAGGAACCTCCCTCCACCTTGAGGCAGGAGTCACGGAGGGACCCTGCCCCATCACCACACCCAGGGCCCTAGAGGAAGGGAAGAGGTGCCACCCATAGCCAGAGGCCTTTGGGTTAGAACTATGGGAGAACCTCCTCCCACACCGCCTCTGGGGCTATGCCCAGGGTGCCCAACACCCTCAGCATGAACCCGCCTGTGTCTGCTACTAGCTGAATAAAGTGGCATGGAGTCACCAGCCTGGGGGTGGGGGTGGGGGCAGATGACGCGCCTCCTTCCAGGCACTGCCGTGAAGGCTGCTTGAGATAACTTCTCATCCCCTCCCAACACAGGGCCCGACCTGGAGCAGATCAAAAAGCCCTTTATCGGTGGATATTCAAAAAAAGAGTGATAAAGGCTGCTGCCACAAGGCCACTGGGGAATCTTCTGGGAACAGGAATTCTAGCACTGACCACCACGGCTGCACTCAGAGGGGCCTCGCCCACCCTGATAATAAGCAGATGAAAACACTCTTCTTAACAAGTCTGTCCCCATGTGGAGACCACAAAGGAGCAGAATTTGAAAACAGCAGTCCTAGGGATGAGCCCCTGCTCTGACCTGGGGTGTGTCCCTTACCCTTTTTAAGCTTCCATCACCTCAGGCCCAACACTGCCCCGGACACTGAATACAATAATGATAAGAGCTAACCCAGGAGCCACTGATGTACGGGGGCACTAGACTCTCCGAACAACCCTACGGGGAAGTACTCCTATTATCCCCATTTCACAGATGCATAAACTGAGATCCACAATATAAATAAGTTAAGGGATTCTCCCAAAGTCACAGGGCTGCTGTGAAGATCAGATAAGATAATGCACAGGGAAGCAGGGCTCGGAAAACCCCTCCCCCACCCTGTAAGGATGATGGCGGAGAATAATCAGGAAATGACCCTCTCTGCCCGCCCCCTCCCCTTGCTCTCTCGGCTCTCAGGGTGCTGAGCAACTCAGAAGACAAAGCAATCATTCCACACGTGTAAGCTCTTCTTTTCTTCCCTCTCCTTCCCCTACTCCTCATCCTCTACCCTCCCCATCCCTTCCCAACACCGTACACCATTGATGCCCCAGTTTCCCATCCAGTTTTCCATTTTCCCCTCGGAGGACGCTGTTGATGGACGCCCAGGAAGCCAGACTACAAGGCACACTCAGGACAGCCCCTCCTCCTTCTCCCCCCACCCCCTTCCTCTTTCCCTCAGCCTGCCTGCTCCCACCAGGAGAGACATAAAGTCAGAGCTCGGTAACTGCTTCTAATCACAGGTGACAGCAAGAATGTAAACAACAGAAGAAACATCTAAATGCAATCCAAGTGGCAAGGAAATATCGCTCACTCTGGCTCCTCTCAAGAACCCTGCTTCCTGCCACCTCCCTTTCGAGGCTCTGCTCTTTAGCGCCCGGTTCATAGGAGCCCCAGAAACCAGGAGCTTCCAGAGAACAGGAGATGGAACGCCAAGTCTTAACCTTGGACTCTACTACCTCTGGGAGGATTTTCTAGACTCGTCCAATTTTCCGTTTAAAGCAATGATTTCAACATGTTCCTTTCTTGGGGAGGGGAGGTATGGAGGTCAGAAACCCCTCCGACAATCTGTTCAAAGCGAGAATGTCTCCCAAGGACAGCACAAACTTAACACATTTTGTGCATTATTTCAGGGGTTCACAGATCCCCAAGCTGAGACCTACTTTCTAAAATGTGGATAGGACAGGAAGAACACAGGAGAAAAAAGGAGTAAGTGTGGAGCCTTCTAAACATTCCAGACGTGCATACAGACGCTGCCGAGTCTACAAGCCCCCGTACACATCGAATAAACTTACAACAAGGGTATTCTTTTTTTTCTTTTCTGGCTCTTCAGACTGACAGTGTGCTTCTAAACCACCTCCTTCAATGCAAACTGAAAGGTCAGCTGAGTAATTGCCATGAATAATTTCCACGTGGATCGCTTAGTGCTCAAGCTAAGACTAAGAAAGCCAGGATCAGAAAAGAACATCGGAACATAGGTTGGGCGTGGCTGATTTTTAACTGTCAGAGGGTCTGGACTCTTCGTGCTGTGGTGGCCCCCCATGATGAATACAGATGTTCAACAGCTGGGCAGGCAACCAGCAGAAGTGGCCAGCTTCTTCTGCAGGGGCTCTTACCTCTGTGCCTGTTGGTTGTCTTATCAAACATCAGCATTGCATCCTCCACCTGCAAAACAAACCGAAGGGAGGCTGCTTTAGGAATTTTGACAAGACATGCGAAATACTATAGGCTGCTGGGGTAGGGTGGTTTCTGTGGTCAAAGTCATGGATACTCATGAAAATTTATTTGAAAACAAAAAATGAGAAAGAAAAAAAAATCACCATCTTTCTGCCTAGAACCGCGGTTGACAACTGATATACTTCCCTTTCGTTTTTGCCTTTAAAAAAAAACAAAACTCATGCCTATTTTAATATAGCTTAAATCATACTGTATATGGAATTTTCTCCCCCCTTTTTTTATATGATATTACAATACTGCAGGGGCACCCGGGTGGCTCAGTCTGTTAAGCGACTGCCTTTGGCTCAGGTCATGGTCCCAGAGTCCTGGAATCACGTCCTGCATTGGGATCCCTGCACTACAGGGAGCCTGCTTCTCCCTCTGCCTCCCTCTCTCTGTCTCTCATGAATAAATAAAATTATTTTTTAAAAAATACTACAAAACTGCAAATAATTCCCAAATGACTATGTCACAAATATTATCTGTTTTTTCCCCCAATTTTTAAATTATGGTTAAATACACATAACATAAAAATTGCCATCCTCCCTGTTCTTTACTGTATAGTTCAGCGGTCCTAAGTACATTCACAATGTTCAACTACCATCCCCACCACTCATGTCTGGAACTCTTTTCATCTCGTAAAGCTGAAACTCTACCCTATCAAAAATAATACCCCCCCATCCCCTTCATCCCCCGCCCAGTCCCTGGTACCCATCATCCCATCTTCTGTCTCTAAGACTGTGACTGAGGTCCCCCCATCCCCCAGGGCAGACATTCCAAGACCCCCCATGGTTGCCTGAAACTGTGGAAAACCCAATACACACCACCTTCCTTCTTGGACACACATACCTATGCTAAAGTTTAATTTGCAAACTGGGCACAGTAGGAGATTTGACAATAGCAACGCATAATAAAACAGAACAGTTACAACAATCTGCTGTAATACAAGTTATGTGAATGTGGTCTTTCCCCAAATATCTGGTTGTAACGTCACTGACGAAGAGAGATGATAAGATGCCTAAGTGATGAGAGGAAGTGAGGTGAATGACTCAGGCAAGTGACGCAGCCTTTGGCTGCTATGGGTCGTCTGAGAATCCACCAGAAGGAGGAGGGTCACCAGCATTAGGACCACGGTGGACCGCGGGGAACTGAAGCCATGAATGGAGGGGAGGGGGGCCTATGGGATTTCATAGAAGTAGAATCACACAGTGTCTATCTTTCTGCGACCAGCTTGTTCCACTCAGCATCATGTCCTCGAGGTCCATCCATATTCCACTGCACGTATAGACCACGTTTTGCTTACTCATTCATCCGTCGGCGGACACGCAGTTTGAGTCGTGGTGAATAAACATGAAAGTGCACATATCTCCTTGCATCCCTGTTTTCAATTCTTTTGTGTATGAAACTGCTAGATCACATGGTAACTCTACTTTTAATTTTTGGAGGAACTGCCATTCTGTCTTCCACAGTGGCTGCACCATTTTACATTCCCACCCAGAGTGCACAAAGGTTCTGATTTCTCCACATCCTGGCCAACACTTGTTATTTTCGGGGTGTTTTTTTTTGACAGTAGTCATCCTAGGGGGTGTGAGCTATTGCGAATACGATTGACTGCGGCATACAGTTACTTAACTCGGTTATCCTTCTGTGGATATTTAAACTTTTTCCAGTTCTACACAATGGAAATTTAATGTCTTGATTGCTATGGGCTGAACTGTGCCCACCACCCCCCAAACTTGGATATTGGAGTCTTAATCCCTAGTATCTCAGAATGTGATTGTATTTGGAGATAGGATCTTTAAAGAGGTTATGGAGTTAAAATGAAGTCACTAGAATGGGCCCTGATCCAGTTCTGACTGGGGTCCTTATACACAGAGGGACTTTGGATCTGGTCAGATATAGAGGGAAGACCATGTGAGGACACAGGGAGAAGGTGGCTGCAAACCAAGGAGAGAGGGTTCAGAAGAAACCAACCCTGCTCATCTTGGACTCACAGCGTCCACAAGAGTGAACAAATAAATTTGTGTTGTTTGACCATCCAGTCTGTGGTCCTTGGTTAGGGTTGCCCCAGGAGAATACCGCACTCATGCTAGGACCTTTACAAACAGATCGAAGAGGAAAAAGCACCAAAGCCATCCTCCGTCTCTCTTCCTCTTTCTCCCTCAGTCTTTCTAGGCATCCTGCAACCCTTTTGGATATTTCTAGCAATAAGATTTCAGGATCTACACTCAATTCCTAGGCAGATCTCAAGAACATCACTATTACTGAACCTGAGTTGGCTTTGAATTCCACTCCTTGTACTTAGGATCCAATTCTTTATTCTTCGACAGAATACCCATCTTTAGTATAGATATTGTCCCAGCCGGTCAGCTACTCATCTGGGCATGGTACTCAGTTTGGCCAGGTGAGAGCCGGGTCTCTTCATTCAATCTGTGCCCAAGACTGTCAATAAAACTACAACTCAACCCATGTGGTCCTGGACAAAGCCGCTAGCCAAAGGGCTCTGAGCTTGGAGCAATTTCAGTTTGTGTGTGTGTGTGTGTGTGTGTGTGTGTGTGTGTATGCGCACGCACTGTGGTTGGGAGGGACTGAGCACTGTTCATTGGAGCTCAAAGGTTCACAAATGAGTTTGGGGGCTTGCGCTAAGCCAGCTGAGAAATGGAATCATAGGCTATTCATTCTTCACTCCTCCCAGACTACAATCTCTGATGGAGGGGAAGACACTGGGCAAAGCAATAAAACCAGGTTTAAAATGCTGCCTCCAGACAAATCAAATCTATTTTTCTAGATGCTATCAAATAGAACAGGGGGGAAAGCAAAGTCAAGGTAAGAACGGAAGAGGGGGTAGGCAAGCCAGACGCAAACCTAGGGACTGGCCTAGCTTAAAAAATCCCTTCCGGAGTCAGGGCCCCCCTTGGTTGCTAAGCAACCGAGTCTGAACAAACAGGCTCCTGGGGCCTTCCCCTTCTGGTCCCCATTTCTAAAGTCAGTGACTGGTAGGAAAATGGCCTTGCATGGTTACTGCTTCACCAGCAGGGAGCTCCTCTCTCTCGGCCGGTACCAGGCTGAGGGGAGGAGGTGGTGCTAGGGTGGTGATGGGGTGCCTTCACCAGACCCTTCTGCAGCCAGGCAGGCTCGATTGTTCCCCACCCTCCGCCCCCGCCCAGGCACCTGCGGAGGCCACACACACCACAGCTGTCTACCTCCGTGCACCACTCAAGCAAAACCAGCAGAAGATCAACTAGTTTGTTTGCACACAGAGCAGTCACACTCGAGCATATGGTCCCGCACACTCAGACCCCAGGGCCTTGATAAGAATTCCAATGCCTGTGGTGTGGGTGGGTGCGTGTCATGCAGGTAAACGTGACATCTGTTTCACACCCATCTCCACATTTTCTAAGACGTTTGCCAAGTGCTTATTTTGAGCTAAAAATGCCTAACAGTAAGGAAAACAGCCTCCCTTCTGTGTTGGCCATGTTTTGGTATTGAAACCCAGATCTCCTTAGGAAATAAATATTTTGAATTTAAAAAAAAAAAAAAAAGTATTTTCAATGCTCCCCCTCACCCCCACCCCTCAACAGGGTGTAATTGGCTCCGTCTTTTCCTTCCAAAGTTTGGATGTTTTTCGCCGCTACCCTCCCAACATTCGTTCCATCCTGGGGAGTGAGGGGGAGGATCTGTGTATGTTTTTTAGGGCAACCATTGTCGTCAAGAACAGAGCTCTTTCCTCTCCAGTCCAGTCGCACAATGGGACTTCGCAGAGACCTCCTGAATAGATAAAATGTCAGGGCAAAAGAAAAATTCTATTAGCACTTTACAAAATAAAACATCTGAGAAATAGCTAGAGAGGAAAGAGAAAGAAAAAAAAAATCAATATGGATAAGACCCGTGCTGGGGGGGGGGGGGGGGGGGGGGGGTAGCTGGTGGAGAAAAACTTTCCGGCGATTGCAAAACACTTATTAATTCAGAGAAGCCATGAATGCAATGGAAATCTGGCAGAACAGCAAGAGCTGAAACTAGGAGAATTTGAATATACAAAGACTGGATAGAATGAAAAACACGGCCTCGCATACGGGGCTGTTTCTCACGGTTCCCTGTGAATCAAACAGAAGCAGCCTGTCTACAGCACGGGGTCGGGGGGGGGGCGAGGAGCACAGTCAAGGTAACCCACATTTAATGCTAGGGAGAGCAGACTGATGACTGTGTCCGTCTGTGTGTCTCTCTCTCACACACACACACACACACACACACCCAGGTAGATTGGTTGGTTGTGCGGAGTCATCAAGTTCAATGTGAACCCCAGACCTCATTTGGGGACGCTAGGTAGGACACAAAGAGTTGGGGGGCCGGACACAGGGATTTTTCTGACCTCAAGTAGGAAACACCATTAACTCTCGTTAGATGTCTCCTCAAGACCAGCGCTGGTATTTATTTTGTGTTGACAGTGCCCCTTCCCAGGCTTATGTATTTCCTTGTACCAGAGGTGGGGGCCCATGGGTCTAGCGGTCTTGGCGCGGGGGTGTCCCTGGAGGCATCGAGAAGGAGAGGAGATATCTGAACCTCATCATACTCTGTCTCACATCCTGGCATGCGCTCAGTCTGTTCTGAGAGAAGGAGCTCGCTCCAACTTTGAGAGACATGCCTTTTAATAACTTAGGGCGGGTTCAAATGCCACCTGGCATCTTGCTGGTACATCTTGGTGAACGAAAAGGCAAGGTAAAGTAACTTTGAAATAAGATGGCTGGGGATGCCCTCCTGTTTGTGTCAGCACCAGTGAGTCCTGAATATATGCTTCTGCCTATCACCAGGTTCAGACCACACTGTAACCTCCTCAGAGGCGTGTACCACACATACAGCCCATCTGAGAGTCACAAAGCTACACCATCAGCCTCTCTGGCCCATGGGGGTGGGGGCAGGGCTTCTCAAACTTTATCCACGTCAGAACCACC